TGACCTTCACCATGTGCTCCTTCAAGATCCCGCCACTAGTTATGTTCATCTGTTCCACCTGTGTTCATCCCCTGTGTCCAATCATTGTCATCACCCTGATGTGTATTTAAATCCTTGTATTCAGTTTCTCCATTGTCTGCTGTTCTCGCTACATCGATGTATGTCTTCACTCCATGTTCTTCCTGTGTTCATCTTTGTAAGTCTTGTATATAAATTAGTGCTGTCAATAGATTTAAAAAAATAACTAATTAATTGCACTTTTTTTGAAAATCAATCACGATTAATCACATTTAAAAAATTGAAACTTGTAATTTTGGCTATTCAAACGACCTCATGTCACTTTCTGAGTACATTTACATAAGACACCAATACTCTAATTTTAATATGATTTAGATAATACTCTTATTAAAAGTCTACCATGTAAGCAGCTTTTTTTTTTTTTTGTGTACCTTAAAGGACCACCGAGTCACAAAATGCGGAGGTTTTTCTTTCCGTTCACCATGTGGTATCAAATTCCATTAAGACAGAAGTCAAACGTTAAAAATGAAACACCCGAAATTGCATAAAACTCTGGAGAAAACGCTGGAGAGCCTGGTGATGTGACATTAATTGTTTGATACTGAAACTTGCCTTCAAAAAGCGCTACCTTGGCCTTATCCATATTTCTTTGCATTTTGAACACGTGTCGACCACAACAGTAAATAAAATAACTGCAACTGCGTCAATTTTTTTTTTACACGTTAATTTTTTCAAATTAATAGCATGCGTTAACCCACTAATTTTGACAGCACTAAAATAAATCTGTGTTTTGATAATTCTGAGATCCTGTGCCTTCTAGTGAACCCAGGCATTACAAAGTGGTTCTAAACCTTTATTAGTTTCTTTATTCTGTTAAACACGAAGCATGATATATTAAAGAAAGCTGAAAACCTGGGACCACCAACATCCACAGTATAAAAGTCAATTGTTCCATGTTTTCAACATTCTCCAAAAAATATATATTTTGTTCAACAGAGAAAAGAAAATCAAAGAGGTTTGTTTCAAGTGAAGAGAAAAAATGATGACAGAATTTCATTTTTAAGGGAACTATCTCTTCAAGATAGTGTTTTGTGCTCCATTTCCAAATAGAAAAACCACAAAAAATAAATAAAACCACTTTAATGCTCATTTCAAATGGCACAGATGTTGTGGTTATTGTCAAAACAACCCATTTAATCCCCATTAATTTTACCAACAGGAGTTATTTATAAATACTGTAACTTTCCTGTGCATGCATTTGAAGCGACTGTAAACAGTAGACAGTGGACGTCCTGGAGACGTGTTTTCGAAGGAGGCGCTGGCAGGTGTCAGCTGTCAGGTGTGCATTTAACTGTCTTAGGCTAGACTGTGTCATAACTCTATCCCATAATGACACCCCGTCCATAAGCAGCTGTGTTCTTGATTTGAACGTGACCGCATCTTAAAGCATCCAAGTAGATTGTCGCACTTTGAGCTGGCGGCGAGTCAGCCAACGAACGGCAGCCAAACTCTCAGCATGTTGTTGGTGCTTGTTGTGACCCAGAGGGGATTGGCTTTGCGAATAATACAGCTGCAGGGCCGTCAGGATCAGATCTAGTTCTGTTGATTTGTGTTTCTGACTAGCATTCCTTCAATGCAGAAACCTGTACAGTAACACTGAGAAGACTTTCCACATTTTTTGATGTGTTTCATGAAATGTGGTTTCCCAAATATGGACCGAAAGTTCTGTCATTACTAACATTTTAGTGTTTTTAAATGCTTTGATCCATAAAATATATACACAAAGCATTGGACAGTTTATCTCGATCTGTGATTTGAAGCAAAGATTTCTTCAGACTTAAGTAGATCAAGTGCTAGAGCAAATTAAGCAAGATATCTTAGTACCATCGATATTTAATTCTATAAATATACTAATTTCATTGATATTAGTTTGTTTTGAGAATACAAGCTCAACAATAGGCCACTGAAGAGTTCCTAAAGACAGTCATTCATGGCTGTATAGGTACTGTATCAGCCAAAAAATGTGAACATCGAGGAAAAGTCCATTTATTTCCATTATTTGTTTCAAAAAGTTAAATGTGTATGTTATATTAGTCCACCACACACAGAGTGAAATATTTCAAGCCTTTGTTTCAATTTGAATGATAATGGATTAAACATAAAAAAAAAAAACAAATCCAGTATTTCACAAAATTAGAATATTTCATGTGACCAATAAAAAATTATCGTAAACACATGTTGGCCTCCTGAAAAGTGAGTTAATATACTGTTTTTTACTTTGTTGGGCCTTCTTTTGCACTAATTAAAGCATCAAGGCAGCGTAGCATAGAGGCGATCCGCCTTTGGCACAGTTAAGGTGTTATTGTAGCCCAAGTTGCTTTAATGTTAGCCTTCAGCTCCTTTGCATTTCAGGGTCTCTGTTCCCTCGACTGTCTGTTGACAAAAGCCCATAGATTTTTTATGGGGTTTAAGTCCGACAAGTTTGCCAGCCAATCAAGTACAGTTATTCCATGGCTAATAAACCAGGAACTGGTAGATTTGTCTTTGTAGCCAGGTGCCAAATTTTGCTAAATAAAATCATCTTCTCCAAAAAGCTTGTCGACAGCAGGAAGCATGAATGCTCTAAAATTTTCTGGTTAACAGCTGAGTTGACTTTGGACTTGATAAAAGACAATGGACCCAGATGACATGGCTCCCCAAACCATCACTGATTGTGGAGATTTCACACTGGACTTTAAGCAGCTTGACTTTAGTGCCTCTCTCTCTCTCTCTCTCTCTCTCTGCTCTTCCTTCACTCTAGGTTCTTGATTTCCAAATGAAATACAAAACTTGCTTTCATCTGAAAAGAGAACCTTGGACCACTTGGCAACAGACCAGTACTTTTTCACCTTAACACAGCACAGACACTTTTGGCGTTGTTTTTTTGTTCAGGAGTGGCTCCTTATGAAGCTCCCTAAGATTTCTGAATCGTCCTTACTTTACAATCCTCCCAAGACTGAAGTTATCCCTGTCACTTGTGCACCTTTTCCGACCACTAATAGTCAATAATAGTCTTCTAGGTTTTTTTGATATATATTTAAATTGTTTACACTTAGCAGATGATTAATAAAGAACAGTAATAACGAAGTGTAGTCAAAAAATTGATTTATATCCAAACACGCATCCTGTTCTTATGCCCCATGTAAAGATGCATATGTCTCTAAAACCTGACCAATCTAAACTTGTTTTAAATAAAACAAATATAAATGGGTTGTGCGTTCGCCTCACAACAAGAAGGTTGCTGGTTCGAGCCTCGGCTGGGTCAGTTGGCATTTCTGTGTGGAGTTTGCATGTTCTCCCCGTGGTGATGTGGGTTTCCTCCGGGTGCTCCAGTTTCCCAAAGTCCAAAGACATGTGCTATAGGAATGAGTGTTTAGGAATGTTTCCCTGTGATGGGTTGCAGCTGGAAGGGCATCCTCTGCATAAAACATATGCTGGATAAGTTGACGGTTCATTCCGCTGTGACGAACCCAGATAAATAAAGGGACTAAGCCAAAAAGAAAATGAACAAATGAATTAAAAGCTAATTGTCATGAATGAACTGAAAAAGCCCCCCGACTTGAGGAAGGCATGGAGGCTGTGGTTTTTATATTTATGTGAAAAATAATCATTTTTGTAACATTTTAATCCTTTATTTATTTTTGTTCATATGTTAATACTTTTGAGTATTGCCGTACATCCTGTGCATATTATGCAATGTGTATGCGTTTAAGGAGCACAACTAACGCACTCTGCCCTGGACTTTAGACTAACTTTCAGTTGGTCAATGGTGCAGTCTATTTCAGTTCCTCAAAATAGCAATGCATCAACAATGTGCCTTAACGCACCTCCTTTCTAGACCGGAACACCCATGAGTCCACAAAGTGGTGCAAATGAATTTACTATTAAAACAAAGTGACTCAAAGCAGGAAAATTAGGGTTGAGTTGGTCTGAAAATAGGGTGTATAATAGGGCCTCTTACTTCAGGGTGTATAATAGGGCCTCTGGGTGTATAATAGGGCCTCTTAACTTCAGAAAAGTTTGAACCCATCCCTGAGCTTTATTTATCAACTTTATAATTATGGCCAACTTTTATATTAATAAAATCTACTGCCTGACCTAAAATAACCATGAATAAAGCAGCTAAATAAATGAACATTAACCAAAATTATAATAACAGTTATATAATACAAAAACTGGCAAGCAGCAAGCATGTGAAGTAGTTCAAGGAGCTGAAATAATAGATCATTTAACGGCTTAAAGATATCAGCCTAATATTTTTATTGGGCCAATACCGATATCATTAAAATAGCATGTATCATCAAATATCGATATGGCCCCTAATATATTGTGCATCCCTAATTATATGCATTTTTATTATTGAATTATTTGCAGGTGGACCCTGTTTGGACCCTGGACCCTGTTTTAATCTACTCATTGCAAATAATTTCATTATGTTTGTTGCTATTTTATTCATTTAATCAAATCAAAAATTGAAGATTAGATTATAGGTCCAGTGAAATTTAAATGTTGTATTAAATGAATAGATGTTAGGTTTTAGTATGTACGTTTTTAATAATATCTGTAAGCTAGAGTGCTACAAAACAGTGACAAAAATTGTATTTAAAGGATATAAAACTGATATAAACATTCAAGTTTGCAATTTGTCATTTCTGACTAAATGAATCAACAATTTTTTTTTTTCACGTTATCTCATACTTCAGTTTTTCATCAAATCTTGACCATTCGAATGCGCTGTAGTATCTGACATGCCCCACCTTCTTCAAGACGCTTCTCATTTGCTTTTTATTTGATGCGCTTGAGTGCAATCACTCATTCAGTCAAGAATCTGAATTTAATCTTGTTATATCATAATAAGCACTTTTAAAAATGCTAATACGACAAGGATCTTCTGTTTATGGTGGCTTAGAAATGACTGTAAATCTTTTTTTACTTGTGTCCAGCTAATGTGATGGATGTGCTGAGGGCACTGGAGCTTTCTGAAGACATGGAGGGGGTTACAGTGGAGGCCGGTCTGTGCACAGAGAGAAAGGGCACTTCAGAAACAGACATGGCTTACAGGATAGATAAGAAAATTCAGCTCAGCGCCCCGACTAAACAGCTCTTTCCAGGTATGGATGCTCGAGATACTCATTTCTGAAGTGTGAATTCAGCAGGCTGTGTGTTAAAAGTGGTTTCCTTCACAGACTCCGCTTTCCCTGAGAACTTCTCTCTGATGACGACGGTGAAGGCCAAGAGAAACTCTCAGTTCTTCCTGCTGTCTTTGTATGATGAGCAGGGGGTCCAGCAGCTGGGCCTTGAAATGGGCCGGTCACCTGTGTTCCTCTATGAAGACCACAAAGGCCAGCCGGCTCCAGATCTATACCCTTTATTTAGAAAAATCAATCTTTCGGATGGCAAGTGAGTGCTTGCATGAATTCTTAAATAGTCAAAATGTTTTCTTTCCTTATGATGAGAAGTTTTTCTCATGTGTAGTTCTTAATAATCGTATGTAACTAAGACCACATCCCAATTCTATTTTTGTACCCCTACCCATTCCCCTTCCCCCTTCCCCATGGCCCTTAAAACCAAGGGTGAAAGGGAATGGCTTCAAAATTTACCCCTAAGAATTGGGACAGCACTACAGCATCATATGGCTTTTCCTTCTGAGTTTCTGCTGTGATGAAGCTCTGCTGTTGTTGACTCTGATTAACCTGCTGTCTTCTCTTCTCAGATGGCATCGGATCGCCTACAGCGTGGAGGGAAAGTCGGTTACGCTGTACCTGGACTGTAAGAAAGTGCAGACACTGGAATTAATGCGCGGAGATGATCCTGTGGTCAGCACTGATGGAGTTATCGTGTTCGGGACGAGGTTATTAGATGAGGAGGTTTTTGAGGTAAGAAATATGAGAAATTCAGCTTGTTGTAATATGAAGATATCTTTCCCTGACTCTATTATTTATGTGAACATACAATATAAGAACACTGACATGAGTTTAAAAAATGAAATAATAGATTAGATTAGATTAGATTCAACTTTATTGTCACAAGTACAAGTCAACAAAATGCAGTTTAGGTCTAACCAGCAGTGCAATAGCAGCAAGTGCAGGATACAGGTATAAGTTATCAAGTGCAGTAGTAGAAAAACTAAAGTGATATTTACAGATGGATGTACTATGAACATTATATACAGATTGTATTAGCTATGAACAGAGATGTACAATAAATGAATATATGTACAGGTTGCTATTAATAATCAGAAGTGTGCAGATAGATAAACATAGTTACAAATGTGTATGCAAGAGTGGGTGTGTACATACTTACAAATGTCCATGTGCAGTGGGTATGTACAGTTCAAATAAGTGAATTAGTGCAACGAATGTGCAAATTTTAAATGTGCAAATGTTAATCGAAAAAGCTGAGTAAGTTAAGACAATTGATATCTAAGTTTTAATAAAAGTTATATTTATTTATGCAAATAAGCCATTATCTAATAATAAGTTTTATAAACATATTTATAATGTAAATTTTAAAACATTAAGAAAGCTAGCTTCACGATTCCTGTTTCATCTTCGTGTACATATTAGATCTAAAAATTTATTTTTAATGTTTCTTTATTATATTTTTTGTTTACTGCTTTATTACTTTTATCAACCAGGATTAAGGAATACAATGTTATATAAGTAATACATCCCAAGTAAACCTGATGTATGGCGATATATGCAAATTGCACATATGAAATACAAGTTCATGTTTGGATTTCACAGATAAAAATTCTGTGTCATAAATATGTATAATATTAGTGTCCCACCAGTGATAATATACAGCCATATCGCACTGTTACAAGTGTGATATTGCGTTTATACTATAGTTTGACGGCAAAATCATGTATATAAAAAAGAAAATCAAACATGGAAAGTCTGAAAATCCTTTTGAATGAGGAACTACTTTCTTCCACCATTCATTCACATCTGCAGCTGACGTCAGAACAGTGAAAACCATTGCTACTTCACCATCGTCACTTTGGAGCTAGTATGTGGATGATTTTCTAGTGCAATGTCTAAAGCAGGGGTCTCAAACTAATGGGCCTTGGGCCATTTACAGCCCTGCGATCCTCTTCCCTCTGGCCCACAACTGATTTAAAAAATGTAACAAGATTCCACCTGCCAAAACATATGTTTTTGAACATCTATCATAGTTGTGCAGTTGCATCTAGCCACTTGTGGTTTTGACCAGCCACCTTATGTGGAGTTCAGACTGCATGATTTTTAAAGTAGTTGCGTCATAGATGTTTTCACACTGTATGACTGTCTGGGCTAGCGTTTTGTCGCTGCTTTGTTTACACTGTAAGATGGATCGGCAACAGGGTCTTTTACATTGCATGACTTTACAATAGGAAGAATCGCCGACAACTTCGTCCAAACTATGTCTCACAGCCAAAAACACGTAGTATATCTTTTGTTATTAACTACATTACGAGAAAGAAGCCTTTAATGGGGTGGAAGATGTGCATATTTGCTCATCTGTGTTTGAAGGGAATTAGCAATTTCTCCTCAACTTTCATTTTTAACTTTCTGTATGAAACGTCAAACAGACACAGGTGCTCCTCTCAAACCTCCTCTAGATTTTCTTCCATTTCTTGGGTCCAAATAAACCGAAAATGAGCGCTTTTAACTTCTCCCCCAACCTCCTGCTGGCCAGCAGGAACACACACACACACACACACACAAGTGAATGCTGCTCTCTCATTGGCTGTAGGTGATCGCCAAAGTTATTTTCAGTCAAAACTCATTTTACATGGCATGATTTGAATCGGCGACAGCTCCACATATTTAACATGCCAAATATCTCACAGGCATCGTCGACTCATCTGCGATTCTCTTAGATTGTGTCTTTGATAGTTCATACCGTGTGATTATCACTCACGTGCAGGAGCACCGATTTGCCTGTGATTTCAGACATTTGTCTGCGATTTCTCAAAACCTGTCGGCGAATCAAAATCGGGGCTAAAATCATGCAGTCTGAACTAGGCATTAGTGTTTACCTTGGCTTTTTCACTTTTTAATTATTGTGATATCTCGATGGCAACAGAGACATACTGGGAAATGTCTCTAGAGTCTAGACTGATGGCATTTGATGGCGTTCAGCCTTATAATCTTAAAATGTGAGCAAAATCAACTGTTTTGTCATCACTTTATACAAGAAGTCTAAAACTCAAATTGGCGGGGGGCCATTTCAGTGACTGCTAATTCATAGGAGGGCTTATTTAACACTCAGTCACAAGAAGAAAGTGGACACCTGATGTAAATAATGCATCTTAGGTCAACACACATGACGTTTATATTTGAAGAATTACCTGTCATCAGTAATAATGCAAATTAGCATGTTTATCATGTCACACATCAGCTGCTGAAATATATCAGTGGTTGTTGTGTGTATAGCCGAGCATTAGACACACACTCATTCTTCCACAGAGTATATGCAGTCAAAACTCTAGCTGTTTGTCTCTTGATTGACATATTGAAGGGGAAGTTTAAATTGCTATGGATATACTACAAATAATAGGAATAATAGTTATTGTTCTGTCACAACCAATTGTATTGTGCAATAGCGAATGAACAACAGAAAGCAGTTTGGATAACTTTAATATTGTTTAATAATGTTCTTTTTAACATTTTTAATTTGTGCAAAGCTACAACAAAGAGAGCAAACATATGTACATATTCAAATTTAGCAGTACAATTTTGCTAATGTACATAGTTTTCATGCAAATCTTAATAAGCATATGAGGAAAATCTTTTAAATTAGACCATTTGAATCAAATATTAGCAAATTGTTCATATTTATTGGAAGTGTTTGTACAACAAAAAACTGATTAAAAAACTGATAATAATCAAAAACTGATAATAATCAAACGATGTTTGAATATTTACAAATATACAGCTTTAGTAAAAATATAGCCCTTACGGGCAAATATTTCAACGTTTAAATCAGCCACACAAATAAAATGCATGTGTGATACTCTCGACTGTACAGGTTTCAGAATGGGACAATAATATGGAAACACACTCTAAAATTTGGTGTTAATAATACTGAATTCTGGCGATGTAGTGGCGCAGTAGGTAGTGCTGTCGCCTCACAGCAAGAAGGTCGCTGGTTCCAACCTCGGCTAAGTTGGCGTATCTGTATGGAAGTTTGCATGTTCTCCCTGTGTTCGCGAGGGTTTTCTCCGGGTCCTCCGGTTTCCCCCACAGTCCTATGACATGTGGTACAGGTGAATTGGCTAGGCTAAATTGTCTGTAGTTTATGAGTGAGAGTGTGTGTGTATGTTTCCCAGAGATGGGTTGCGGCTGGAAGGGCATCCGCTGCGTAAAAAATGTTCTGGATAAGTTGGCGGTTCATTTCGCTGTTGCGACCCCAGATTAATGAAGGGACTAAGATGACAAGAAAATGAATAAATAAATACTGAATACTGGAGATTTCAAATTTATGATTCACTTTCAGAAAAATGACAATTTCAAATGCAAAGTCTGTATATACATTATAATAAACACAATTAGTTTTGAATGTTTTCTTTCTGCTACTATGGAAGCAAAATAGGCCACAATCTTAAAACTGGAGTGTGCAGATTTGTTTGTCTTGCCTTAAACTTGATAAAAGTTATGTAAGTTTAAAAAACAAACAACTTCTTACTGTATATACAGTTGAAGTCAGAATTATTAGCCCCCCCTTTAAATTTTTTTATTTTTTAAATATTTCCCTAATGATGTTTAACAAAGCAAGGAAATTTTCAGTTTGTCCGATAATATTTTTTCTTCCGGAGAAAGTCTTGTGTTTTATTTCGGCTAGAATAAAAGCAGTTTTTATTTTTTTAAAGAATCATTTAAGCTATATATTTTCTCGATAGTCTATAGAACAAACCACCGTTAACTTGCCTAATTACCCTAACCCTCATTTGCCTAGTTTACCTAATTAACCTAGTAAAGCCTTTAAATGTCACTTTAAGCTGTATAGAAGCGTCTTGAAAAATATCTAGTCAAATATTATTTACTGATAAAATAAATCAGCTATTAGCGATGAGTTATTAAAACTACTATGTTTAGAAATGTGTTGAAAAATCTTTGTTAAACAGAAATAAAAAACAAGGGGGTAATAAGTCAGGATGGCTATTAATTCTGACTTCAACTATGTACAGTATACTGTATATTTTAGAGGAACAGCCATTTAGAAAACAAAATCTTTCAATCTAATGTTAGGGTTATAAAAATAAATAATTAAACAAAGAAAAACTAATTGTAACAATAAAACAATAATAAAATTACATCTTTTGTGCATAATAATCACACTTTTGGTTATATATATATATATATATATATATATATATATATATATATAATTTTTTTTTTTCACAGTTAAATTAAAGGCATTACAACAAAATTCATTGCAGTGCAAACAGCATTACAATATAAATCATTTACAGTTTAATGAAATATTGATTAATATTAAAAAAATGCAAATATAATTTGTAAAAAAACAGGCTGTGCTGTTTATATGGCAGTGTTTATTTATGCCATATAATATATGTATGCTTCTTCAATGTCCTATTCCCCCACTCTATTCGGCTTCTTCCTGAATGTGCTCATCACACTCCCTCTTGACTCCCAGACAAACAGCAAACAAGATATTTCTCTTGCAAAGCGACAGGGACTCTCAGATCAGCGCAATTTAAGTTCATACAAAATTCATGTGTGTTGATGCCTCTGCTTTGCCTTAATGGAATAAACCGTGGCGGTCTGTTTGTTTTATGTTTAATTGAATAGTTTGAAATAGAGTGGATTAGAAGCAGTCGTCTGGGCAGATAGAAATGGACTCCTGAGAGAGGGATAAACAGGTGCTG